CCACTGCCCTGATTCCTGGACCCTTCCCCCCCAATTCTGCAGCCCCGCTGAGCTGCCCCAAGGGGGCAGGGCTCCTGACTCCACCAGGAGCCTAGGAACCAGTGCTCCATTGGGATTCTCTGGTCCTGGACTACCAATGTTGCCGGACCAGAGAGTCCCAGTTTACAGAGGTACAATCAGTATTTATTTTCCTACCTTGTACATATCTCCCTGGGATGTCTGCCCAAATAAGGTGTAGATATAGACACCTTACTAGGTGATGCTTACCAGTTATGGTTAACCAGCAAGGGCTATATCAGCCTCAGCCCAGTACAAACAAGCTGTTTCACCAGTACCATGCTACAAAAAGATTCATTTTGTTTCACTAATAATGACCATTTAATCTTTCAATAAATTTAACAAAAATGGCCATACTGGGTCAGATCAAAGGTCCATCTAGCACAGTATCCTGCCTGAAGTACCTGGTGTTGGCCATTGCTGGAAGAGGGAATGAACATAACATGTAATCAAATCATCCATCCAGTCAGCCACTCTCAGCTTCTGGCAAACAGAAGATAGGGACGCCATCCCTGTTCATCCTGACTAATGGCCATTGAGGGGCCTATCTTCCATGAATTTATCTAGTTCATTTTTAAGTCTTTATAGTCCTGACTTTCACAACATCCTCCGTCAAGAAGAAAAAAATCCCAAAGGCTGTTTTCTTAGAACTTGTCTTAGTTGAGTGACAACTGTAAGTCTCCCAAAACTATCAATATAATGTTAAGTTACATTACTAACAAAGATGCGATAATACCTACATTTAGATAGAGCACAGCAGATATCAAAGTACAAAGGAAAGGAGTATCATTATCTCAATTTTACATGGGAACAGAGGCTCAGAGAGTTGAAAGGGTGCCCAGGCTAACTAAGTTGGCAGTTAGGGATAAAACATAGATTTTCTAAAGTCCCAGTGCAGGCCACACAAATATTCTGTGACGAGATGGTATGATAGGTTTAAATTAGAGCAAAATCTGTCCTTAAGCATGTGTAGTTTCCAAGATTTAGTGGGGGGAAAACTGAAAGACTAACTCTCAATACTTATACTTACTATATCCCTTCCAAATACTAAAATGCACAATTTTTATACGACGAGGACTAATTTCTTTCCCCATAGTGGAAACTTAATATTGCCCCTTTAACTCAGCAACTTAACCAATCAGTACACAGAGAGGTGCTGAAATTCCCTGTTCTAATTCTGTTAGTGTGTATAAGATTTAAGGCATGCACTTGATGATAAAATTAATTTTTCTATTTTAAAAATCATAAATTTTATACAAGTTAGATTTATGGCCATGAAAGTCTCCTAGGTTCCATTTTCAATTAGGCATTAATTTAAAAGAAACTAAGGTAACATTTTTAATACAAGCCAAGCAAAACATTCAGAACTAGCAACTGAAAAAATGACTGCATCCATATTTTTAGGTTACTATTTAGAGCATTGTTTTTATTACTCACACACATCATTCTGATATTACCTTTACTCAGACACAAACACTTTTTCTTCACTTACACTGCAGATCGTAATTACACAGAACTTCTTAAAAGCTAGTAAAGTTGTTGGAATGTTACTATGCACCCACACAAGACAATATAGTTAGAACTTTGCTACAAATCTCATCGATGTTTTCAGAGTAATCCAAGCTATGATTTATCTCTTTCCTATTTTTATTCTGATCAGAATCATAACTTGCATTAAACAGATGAGGATTATTATTTTTTTTTTAAATGTTTGCTTCATTTTTTTTCCCCTGGAAATCCATGACAGTTAGTCACTTACCCCCTACATTTAACTTTATCATTATTTGGAACGCAAGATCTGTGACTTCTATGCCTTGTATTACTTTTAAAAGAAGCTTTCCACCAACACAGCATCATTAGGAAGCCAATTTACTTTGTAGACTGAAAGATAAACATTGTATAAACTAAAAAGCTTATGTATCAACAGATGTTGGCACAACAAGAGATAATTACATCACCCATCGTGGGTGTGTCTACACAGCACAGTTATTTAACTAACTAAGGTTATTTTGAAATAATGCGACCATCTACACATCAATTCTGTTATTTCTAAATAAACTCGAAATAATGGACAGCTTATTTTGACTTCTGTAAACCTCATTCCACAAGGAATAATGCCTATTCCAAAATATCTATTTTGAAATAGCTGAAGTGTGGACACTCCACTGTTGCTATTTCATTCCCTCTTCCAGCAATGGCCAACACCAGATACTTCAGGCAGGATGCTGTGCTAGATGGACCTTTGATCTGACACAGTATGGCCATTTTTGTTATAACTTACTGAAAGATTAAACGGTCATTATTAATGGGTTGCCATTCAAACAACCCAGTGCCTCCTGGGGCTCTAATTCGAGGTAGCACATCCACATTAGGGAAGCCTGCCTCAAACTAATTTTGAGGCTTCCCTGTAGAATAGATGTGCTATTTCCAAATAAACTATTTCGTAGTACTTCTTCCCGAACAGCTTATTTCAAAATAAATGCAGTGCAGACACACACCCCGAGACTAATAACCTGGGACTAAAACAGCAACATCACTGAATATTGTACCACTGCCATTTACCATGAGGCAAAAAGTTAGCAATAACTTAATAGCTTACTGTTACTTGAAAGCATGTTACATCTGGATTGGCTGGCCTTGAAACATTCCACTTTATTTGAATAGTACTACTAGCAGTTAAACGGTTTAAGCACAGTAAGGATACCTTCTCTAGCACTAGCAAGGAAAATTAGCAGGCTGTGTACTACAGATGAACAAAGAGGCAGGCCTAAGTACAAGTGGGACTCGTTTTCTCCCCATTTCTCAACTCCATTTGAATAGCCATGTTTTTTGGACCTTTCAGTGTACAATACCATAATCAATTGCAATTATCCTCTGATTCATGGCTATAAAGCAACAAAACACATTAACACCTGAGGGTTCAGGGGAAAACTAGGCTAACACCCACAGCTTACATTAAGATTTAAATTCTTCCGAAGCCTCTGCCTAATTAGTAGCAACGTTTTCAGTTAAACATTATGGAAAAGGTTGTGTAAAGATGTATGTGCACTTGAACACAATTATTTTTAACTCCTAAATATACTGAACTCTATTCCTGTGTCTTTCTATAAGCACCCAAATAACTACCACGTAATTAATACATTAGATATGAAATAGAACAGCATATGGCAAAACAGATTATGAGATTAAACTAATTACATGATGACGACTCTGAAATCCACATCATCCTTCAGATCTAAATTTTGAGATGTAGCGTGTATGGGAGAACACAAGAGTTCACATAAAGCAAACATTAGAAACTATGTCTTTAAAAATGTCTAAGGGAAGGAGGGGAAGCATGTGTTAAATAAGAACAAACAACTTATATTAAGTATCTACTTGCTTTCCATGGACCTGACCTTGTAAATACCTCACACAACATGTAGAATTTACTACCCTAAGCAGTCCCATATGATTTCCAAAACTGTAATAAACCCTATGCTTAGTTCCCATGAAATTAAAATTTGCATCTACATTTACAGGACCCATTCTTGGAACCCTTATTCAAAGAATATTTTTTCACTAAAATCAACTGTATAATTATTATGAGAAATGAATAGTCATAAGGCTTGCAGGATCCAGTATAGTATTTATGTTAGACCAGGTCCCGCCACCCCCGTCTCCCTGGTCTGCTGGGGGGGAGGAGGGTGCAGCTAGTGCCCCC